GTATTAAATCTTCTCTGAATTTCTTGTAAAATTCTGCTGTGAATCCATCAGGGCTCCCAGGCCCATTCTGAGGCCAGTCTCTGTCCTTGGCTTGCTTGATGCTGGTGATCAGGTTTCAGGGCCTGCAGGGACCCTTTTCCTTATCCAGAACCCCACACTGTTCTAGCTGTAGAGGCCATTGGCCATGGCTGGCCATTTGGAACCTAGTGTGTCCAGGGTAGGATAAACAGGCATGATCTGGAAGCTGGCCCCCTATACCCCTGGGCACAGCCACTGGCATACACCCTGCCCACTTCTGTGATGGGTTAGCCAGCCGCCTCCCTGGGCCTGAGTTCTGTCATATACCCAGTAAAGGAGGAGCAGAATTAGAATTTCCAGGGGAGAGGAGAATGAAGCATCCTTCCAGCCTTCCTCACTGAGTGCCTGAGGCAGGGAGCCCTGGGCAGACACTCTCTTCCTTGTCTCTCTGGGTGCCAGTGTCTTCCTGCTCCCCTCTCTGCCTCAGGCCAACTCCCTGGAGGAGGGAGGATTCCCTGGGTGGGGCTGGACCAGGCAGGCAGTCAGGCAGGCAGATGTATCCTTGATGTTTAGAGTTCAATATGCCTGTACTTGTTTCCAACATGAATTAACCTACCTAGTGCTGATGCTTTATTTTATTAAGACTTCAGTTCCTACCAGAGGCATCTTTTTGAACAGACAGAAATTAGGCCTGGGAAAAAGGAGATGAGTGTGCCCAGCCAGCAGGAGAATGGTGTTGGCTGGTACTCCATGGCTTTTTGGGGTACCTGTGAGTCCCCATAGCTGCAGTCACAGGTCAGGCTCTGCAATGTCCTCAATTTCTGGTTCCTCCCTCTGTACAGATGGGGAGATCCGTCCCACAGTGTGTTCGCATCTTGTGTCAGGCAGCCCTTGCTTGCAACAGGGCTAGGACCTGAACCTCAAGGTTGATGGTTTTAATGTCAGGCCAGCTTTATCCAAAACTACGTGTCATACTGAGCTGAAATTGGATGGCTATAAGTTAGTTACAGCCGCCTCACTGTGGAGTTCAATGAGTAAAATTCGGGAGCCCTTATTAGACATTTAATGTCTCTAATTACCAGGATCGGTATTAAGTCCTGGGCATGGAGGATGAGTTAAGACAGTAGCCTCTGTCCTCAGACCATGCTGCTGGAATTGTGAAGACATGTAACTGAAGCACATGAGAACATTAAGTCCATTTGTGCAGAATGTGTGCATGTGTTCACACGTGTGTGTTCACTACAGTCAGGCAAGGAAATGGGTCCTTGGCAGTGCTCTCAGGAAAGGGCTTAGAGAGCCAGTGTTATTGTGCCTGGCCTTCCTGAAAGTAGGCAGCCTTGGATGCCCAGGGCTCTAGGGAAGGTGCCATTGTGGTGGGAGCTAAGGCTGGGGGTGCATTGAAGTCAAGCTCCGCTGAGTTTAGTGCAAGTGGGAGCCAGAAATCAAGGAAGGGGTGTGATCAGGTCGCTCTGGCTACTGCAGAGAACCTGTGGCTAGTGAAATAGACTACAAAAGTACAGTAACTGGCCAGGGCTTGGACAGTAGCAGGGAGGTGGAGGAGCCTGGGTTCCAGACACATTGTCTAAGATGGACACAATTTCCTGACCAGTTATGTGTGGGCAGTGAGCGCCAAAGAAGGATTTCTAGCTTGAGCAGTTGGCTGAGTGCTGGTGCTATTTTTTGAGATAGGAAACCTGAAGGGAAAAGTGGAGTGGCATGGCCATCAGTTTTGGACATGGTGCCACAGAGATACATACAAAACCCGCTGGGGACAGTTTGAGGCAGAAGTAGGAATGGGGGACCTGAAGTCAGTACAGAGCTGGGGGTGAAGTGCTGGAAGGAGCCGTGATCACCCAGGAAGGGAGTGGAGTGGAGTGGAGAAAAGCCACTTAAGTAAGTGACAAGAAAAGAAGAGACTGGAGAGTAAAGGGAGGACAAGGTGGGCACTTCCTGGACAGGGGTGAGGAGTGGGCGAGGGAGCAGGTGGCTCAAGGAGCCATGGGGGATGGGGTGTCTCCTTTGATGCCATTCTCCTGACACTCGGGCTTTTGGAGCGCTTCGCTCCATTGGTCTGCACCGGATAGCGGGGTGTGTCTGTTGGCACTCGGGAAATGTTACAGTCTGCATGACTGCAAATGACTCAAAGCTTTGCTCAACTATTTGAAGTCTAGGGGGCGTTGGCAGCTGTCCATTTTGATGTTTTCTGGAGATTAACTGTTGAAAGCTGAAGGGGCCCCAGGGTTTCTGTGCGGCCTGGTCCTGCCTGTGGAGTGATGGAGTTTAGGGATCTAGGCGAGGCTCCAGAGCCCCACCCCCAGCCTCCCCTGCCGCCTGCACCCTGCCTGCCACACACCTGGGGCCAGCCTCATTGCCGGCAGAGGTGGGGTGTGGACGCCACAGACAGTGAGTGCCCATGCCCAGGTCTGACTTACCCAGCGTTAGGATGGGGTCCATGTGGGTAGAGGAGGGGCCTGTGTCAGGAAGAGAGAGCCCGGGTGGGCAACAGAATGGGGGAGATGGGGGATGTGGAGGGAGGGGTTGGTGAACAGTCACGACTGTTCTCACTCAGAAATCAGTGTGTGTTAGAATCATAGAATGTCAACAAGAGCTTTAGGAGCCTTTGCACCTACTATTTTAAAGATGAGAAAAGTGGGGCTTGGTGAGAGCAGCAAGCTGGGCTCCCCAGGCCAAGCTGGTGGGTTCTCTCCTGCGTCACACCCCTCTTCACAGCTTCAGGATCCTGCTCAGCCAGTATTGATCTGCTTCACCTCCTGCAGGAGGAGCAAGATCAGCCAAGCCCCCCCCACCCCCGCCCATGGGGAACTGAGTTCTGCTGAGGGGTTCACTGTTCTGTAAACATCCTTGCTCTTCTCTTTCAGAGAGACTGACCCTTTCCTTAATGGGCAGTGGGAGTAGGGAGGAAAGAAAAGGGACATCTGGAGTATGGTAAATTTCCTAGAGCAAACATACTTTGTATTTGATTCATGACTTCATAAGTTGATTTTTTTAAATTCTCCTTAGGACAATGGGGACCATATCCCTAAACTCCACAAACACACTTAAAATATGGGGAGGCAGGATGTGACAGCAGAAAGGCTACAAGGTTAATTCCTGTTGACTGTGGCCCCTGGGGCAGGTCCTCGGGGCCGTGCCAATGGGGAAGGTACTGAACCTCTCTGAACTCAGCCTTAGCAGCTGGGCTTTGGCAGAGCAGCTCAACCTGTGTGTGCTTTTGGCTTTCACTGCTTGTCACTGGCAGGGCAGCCATGTGCTAGGGGCCGACTGGGAACAGTGTATCGGCAGAGAAGCCTGCCTCTCAACAGAAGTGCTGAGGATGTTCTCCCAACCTGGTGCATACAGGAGGGGGCCACCTCCTTGGAGGGGTGACTCTGCTGACACTTCCTGAATCACAGCTGGGGCTGAGGGATGGAAAACAGCACTCCTGGGGGTTGAAGCCTGGATCGTGTGTGCCAGTCCTTGAACTTGAGGTAGGGAGATGGGAGCCTTTGCAGCATGGAAATGTGAGCTCTCAGGGTCCCTTCAGCACTTACACCTGCTCCTGTTAGCCTACTCCTTCCCAGGCTCAGGGAGCTGAGGCCCAGCCAAGCTGTTTTTCCCTTTTTCCTGCATCCTTACCGGCTCCAGAGCCACTTTCTCCCCATGTTCTTATGGCTTCCCAGGCTGGTGCTCATCCCTGCACTGCCATGGCCTCATTCATGCCTGGCCCAAACTGCCTCCCCCTCCCACTTGTCTGTCTTGTGTGCTTGTGTCTCCGTCAGGACTGTAGTGTTTCAGTTTATGCCCCACAGAAATCCATTTATTGGATAAGCCTGTGCTGAATAAATGTTTGAAAATAACCCCTGAGTCTAGCGGGATTGCGTTTTCTTGGGCTCAGACAAGCGGGCTAAATACTTGTGGGTGGAGACTGGGAACATGCAGCCTGTTGCCCCTCAGAGCAGCAGAGGTGTATTGGATGGAGGCAGAGCTGACCTTGAATGTCTCTGGGCTGCCTGAGTGCACTGTGAGAGCCCAGAAGTCAGAGTAAGGCCCTTTGTAGGGCAGAGGTAAGCTGGCTTTTGCATACTGATGCAGAAATGCTTACTGCTCATGTGGTCTTGAATTACACACACGTGTCAGAAATCAGGGACGTTTAAGAGGAATGTAAAGGTACAGGCATTGTTCTAGGCTCTGCAGAATCTCCTGTTTGCCGTATGTCGGGGACAACTATGAGTTACCTCCTAATTGTTCTGTGAACTATAATCCAGTAATGTGTAACTTTGCCATATGAAAAAATTGGATGCAGGCCTGTGAGAGGTTGCTTCCTATGTGGCCCTGGAATGTGGTTGTCTCTAAATTGTTGTCATTATTGTTCTGTTCTATCAGATTCTTTCAGGTCACATTGGAGTAATGGGCTTATCAGACCTCTTGTGCCCCAGCTGGAGCCCCTCCCATCAGAGATAGCCTCCTCCTCTTTTTACTCTTCCTTAATACATCGATGCTGTTCCTCAGGTGTTTTCTTTCCAGACTCCTTGCCTGGAAGTTCTTTGTTATTTTTCAACTCAGATCTGAGCTTCCCAGGCTGGCCTCAGTGCTAGCCTGGCCTACTGTTTTCCTCCCTAAAGTCATCGCACAGAGTCATTTCCTCCCACCTCACCACAGTGCACCCCTCAGCTGCTTCCCTTATAGTGACATGGATTTGTGGATGGACCTTTACTTGATCTTTAGCGAGTTCTAGCCCAGTCCTAGGAAATCCTGAGAATTCTCCTACCCAGTTGCGTCTGAGGTTGGCTGGACCCCCCCACACCCACTGCCTGTCCCCAGTGGTCTCTCACAGGGAATCAGGCTACTGCTTTGGGAGGGAGGTGTGGCAGGAGTCAGACCCTAGAATGGCAGGAGAGCCAGGTGGGGAGGATAGGTGTTGGAAGCAGTTGTCAAGAGAAGCAAAACTGAATGGGTCCCGACTGCTGTTACAAAGACAGGGTGCTTCCAGGGTTCCCCACACAGGAGAGTGTTATTACAACTGAAGCACCCAGGCTTGGCTAGGAGCAAGAGTGGGTTCCAGTGGGACCTTCCTGAAACTCCCTCCCCCTTGTGGAGTCCCCTGCCCTACGCAGACACCCACTTACTCCCTATCCAGACAAACATCGATGCAGTTCTATTTGCGGGCACTGGCATTGATTGCAGTGACCATCTTCACTTTGGAGATTTGTTTTCTTGATCTTATGTAATACCTCTCTTTTAATTATACTTTCTTATTTTTACCATGTCCTATTTCTATAATGAGTGAAATATAAAGCTCCTCTCAGTTGGGAGAAATGTACTGTGATTGCCTGTCCACCATGAGCGGGACCCTGCTGGGCACTACCTAGAGCCTTGGTAAATAGGATATGGTCCTTGTTTCTGGGGGATTTTCAAAGTAAAGAAGAAAAATGGAGTAGGAAAACTAGTGTCATCTGAGAAAGCTGCCCCTACCCAGGGAGCTGAGAGCTAAGCCACTTGGGTAGTGAAAAACAGGCATCAGTGAAGAGAAGAATGAGCAATTATTCTGCCAGCAGGAGGTTGCTGCAGGCCAGCTGCCACCACCTAGGGCTTGAGGGGAAGAAACAGCAAGAGGAGCCCTGAGAAAGCTGTCATTTCCCTGCACTGGTGCCTGACTCCTGGTGAGCTCCTTGGGGCAAACTGCACATGCCACACCCAGAGCTGTGGGCGTGGCAGGTGCTCTACAACCCTGTCCAGTCTGGTCTCCATACTGCGGCCCCTCCTCCCCAGCCTCTGGACTGCCCTCCCCTCCCCCTCGGCCTTGCCTGGAGATCAGACTTCACTGCCCTGTGGGAGCAGTAACATCCTCCTTCCTCTCCATCTCCAGAAATGTCTTTCCTCCAGGACCCAGGCTTCTTCGCCATGGGGGTGTGGTCCATTGGTGCAGGAGCCCTGGGGGCTGTTGCCGTTGCACTGCTCCTGGCCAACACCGACATGTTTCTGTCCAAGTCTGAAGAAGCCACTCTGGAGTATCTGGAGGACGTGGACCTAAAAACACTAGGGAAGGGTAAGTAGTGACCCTGTTGGTCTCAGTACTTTTCCGAGGTACTGGGGTACAGGGTTACTTATTCTTTTCTTTCTAAAATAGCTCTTTTTTGAAAAACCAATATAATAGCATTAGAGAAATTATAGTAACACTTTTTAAATTACTTTGTTCCATCCCCCTAACATAATCATTGTTTTTACTTTGGCCTATTGTTTTCCATGTGTACATATTATTACATGGTTATGATCTTGGTATAAGTTGCTATTTTATCTTTTTCTTTTTGTTGTGTCTCTAACTGTAATCATAAATCACTCAGTAATACTTAATGATGTTGTGACATCACTTAATGAACTAGTACTTCCACGGAATGTTCCAAGGAATTACAGGCTTGTGGTATCTCCCTAAAGAAAGGAGACCCTGAGTCCAAGAAGTCTGAAACATATGTTTGTCCAGTTCCATGTTCCCTGACGCTCTGGGTAGGGCCTGGCATACCGGAGGTCTGGATTGCTATTGATGGTGTATGGTCAGCCCCTTCTCTGGTCTGTCACTATAAAACAGGCTGTGGAGACCCACCTAGAATCCACTGGAGGGACAAAGCCACACACTCACTCGTGGTCACCCTGCCTCTTCACTGGCTATCTGCAGTGTGTGGGCTCCATCATGCCCAAGGAAACTTAGCTAAGGAGAGCAGAGGCATGACTGCACGGACTCCTGGTAGATGACCTCAGTGAGGTGCACAGACACTGTTGAGCTTTGTTCAGCCCAGGCTTTTCAGTCTCCTCCCATTACAGTTTCACTGTCTCCCTCCTTCCTTTCCTGTCCACATAACATCCCACGGGGACGTGGATGCAACTGGGATTTAAATTAGGGTTCATATTTATTGAGCGCTCACTAATTCTGTTTGAGCAGACCCTGGTGAGCATGTTTATAGTCATCCTTTAATATTCCCTGCAGCTCAGAGTGGGGCCGTTACATATCTGCTTTTATAAATGAGAACCCTGAGTCCCAAAGAGGAAAAGTAGCTTGGCCTTTCTCAGGATCCCACAGCTAGAGCCAGACTCAGAGTGACCTCTGAAGCAGATGTGGGCTTCAGTACTGTCTTGCCCCCAGCATTTCCTTACTGGATATCATCTGGCCTGCTTTATTAGTAATAGTGCAGTTAACATACTTATGTTAAATTACTTTTTATTCCCTTAAATACATTTTTAGAAGTGAAGTTGTTTTGTTGTTCAGAATACAAGACTGAGTTTGGGCCATGTCTGTGCTCCATAGAGTCATTATAGTGTGCCATGATGCCAGCCATAAAGAGAATTACGATTGAGCTAGAAATACTGCAGTTTGGAGGATTCAAATTTGAAAGCAGATTTTTGAGAGAGGGACCTTTTGAGCATACATTCCACTCCTTAAGCTTTACTTCCTCTCTTTGGGAAGATACTCACAGTCCCTGTCTGCATCTGGTCCTCCTGCAGCCTGGTTTCTGACCTTGCCCTGTTCGGGAGTTGCTCAGGAGTTGAGGTGGGGCTGGGAGCAAAGGATGTTGTTTTCCATTTCTTCTCCCTTAGAACCAAGGACTTTCAAAGCAAAGGAGCTATGGGAAAAGAACGGAGCCGTGATTATGGCTGTGCGGAGGCCAGGCTGTTTCCTCTGTCGTGAGGTGAGTGCCTCCGAGAATCTCTTCAGAGCAAAGGACCCAGACAGTGGGGCCTTAGGTTTCCTGTGCTCCAGGCCAGCTTACCATTCATTCAACCCCGGGCTGTTCTCTTTTATTCAAGCTAGGTATTTCTTTTAGCGTAGGCTCTGTTCCTGTTGTGTAATACTTGCCATCTCCTACTGGGGTTGGCAACACATCTGACTCCCCTTGGTACTTCCAAGCCTTTCACCCTGTGTTGTAGCATCTGTGTCCCAGACTACTCCCGTGTGACCCAGGGCAGTGGGGAGGCCCAGTCCCGTGTTCCTAACATTCAGCACAGAGACACACCAATGAAATGGGGGTTGAGCTGCTACTGATGAGGGCGTGGCCAGCCCCCACCTATGATGGGACTGCAGCATGAGCAGAAGCTGTTCAAGGCCACACTTTAGAACAGACCTGCCTGTCTGCCGGCCTAAGAATCCACCAAGCATGGATAGCTGAGCACTACACACTCTATCCTGGCTGCCCCTTAGCCTTGCTGCTAGTCTCACAGGGTTGGGGTGCCCATCATGCTGATGGTCTGGGTGCATTTGGCATGAGAGCCAGGAGAGAATTGGAGCTCACTGACTGAGGAGTCTCCCAGTTGGCCCTTCAAAGGGCAGCCATTGCCATCTGTACAGGAAGTGAGGAAACATATCAAAGGAAGGTATCTTGTGTCTGAGGGGATTTGTCCTTTTGTGGATGGGCAAGCTGAGGACCAGCATGGTTTGGTGGACTGCCCGGTAGGGAGCAGAAGCCCCAAGTTCTGGGATGGCTGCCTTGTGTGGAAGAAAGCTGGAAATGGTAGTGCTTCTGTCCTGGCAGCAGCCTAGCTTTCCAAGTAGTAGCTTTGGCCTTGCCTGGGTTCTCATCTGCATTCTGTGGGTCACCTCCCACACTGAGGGGTCTCCTCTGCACCCTGTCAGTCTCTCCTGTTTGTGTGTGAGGAATCCATCCACTCACACAGCACGTCTTTGCCTGTTATCTAGTCAGCCCTCACCGTGTCTCCTGCAAAGCAGCTTGTTGTTACTGTTCCCATTTCACAGAGGAGCCAACAGTAGTGCGGAGGTTGGAACAAAGCTGTATTGCCAGGGAGGTGTGTTAAGTTCCTGTAGCTGCTGCAGCAAGTGGCCACCAGTTCAGGGCCCTTGAACAACACAGTTATTGTCCAACCCTGGATGGAATGCGATTTCATTCCTCCTGGAGGCTATGATGGAAGATACACTGCTTTCCTTCTTCAGCCTCTGCAGCCTGCCAGAATTCCTTGGCTTATGACCTATTCCTCTGTTTTCCAAGTCAGCAATGGCTGTTCAAGTCGTCTCATGTTGTGTCCCTATGACGCTGACTTCTCCACCTCTCTCCTTCGCATTTTAAGAGTCCTGGTGATTATGTTGGGCCCACAAAGATAACCCAAGAAAATTTGTCTGCCTGTGTGTGTGTCTGTGTGTTTGTGTGTGTTTGCACACACATGTGCTGGGATTTGAACCCAAGGCCTTGGGCATGTTAAGCATACTACTGAGCCAAAGCCCCAGCCCATAGAACAATTTTTTTACTTAGGGTCAGGTGATCAGCAGCCTAAATTTCATCTCAGACTTCATTCCCCCTTGTTATGACACATGACATATTCATACTTTCCAGGAGTTAGGAGGTGGGTGTGTTTAGGGGTTCACTACTCCGTCCACCACTACAGCCGAGTTTAAACTCAGGGCTTTTCATTGCAAATCTGTAATGCCTCCAAACACCAACATGGAAACCTGTTTTGACTTGATCTCTTGAGATCAGAGAAACCCAGAAGGTTCCAAAAGCAACACTTCTTGCTAATTGCATCCTGTTTTCCTATGTGCTGGTCCTTGCCTTGGCAGAGCATCTTGTAAACAGTTTTCAAATGGTGCACAGGTGTCAGTCTGAGTTTCAAGATGGTGGACGGTGGCAGTCTGAGTTCCTTGGAGAGGCCCGAGGAGGAAGTGCATGACTCAGTTTCTACTTCATGGCTTTGTACAGGAATATACCCAGCATAAAGAGCTCAGACAAAACAAGTGAAACTTTTAATCTTCAACAGATGGTCTTTGACCACATCGAACACTGTAGTCCACCCTCTCTGCTCTAGGGCAAAACTTCAGTCCCTGAAACTCTTCATAAATGCATTATCATTAGTTCTCCTGCACTCACTATCCTTTCTTTCCTGTTTTAGAAAATAATGAAAAATTAAATGTAGTTGCCCACATAGAGCAGCACGCTTGTATTGAAGGTGAGCAGGCTCTGTTTAAAAGGGTTTCCTGCTAATTCTTTAATTCTGACATCTAATGTGAAAGAAAAATTTGTTGTTAAGGTTGAAACTTTAACATAACTCATGTGGTGTTATTTATTCAGCACACAGCTCCTGAGGGTCAGGGACATCTGTACCACTCCACTCAGCTGCACTCTCCCCATTGTTCAGCTTCAGGTCATTCCATCTGGTATTTATACCCACTCTATATCTAGCCATGTACTGGGCATCTAGGGCTCCAAAACATGAAAGACTTAGTTTCTGACTGTGGGACACATCAGGGATCTAATGACAACAATCAGCATAGCAGTAGCACCCAGACTTGGCACAAAAAGTCAGCGAGCAGGGAAAATAGACAGGCAGATGAGCAGGGCTTCCCTGTTCAGGGAGATCTTTGTAGACCAGGGAGGCCTCCCAGAGAGGCGGTTTGAGCGGGAGAGAGTTGGAGGATTGCAGCATGTGTGGGGAGCCCTGGGACAGCAGTGTGAGCCCATGGTCACGTGGCCTGAATGGTGTCTGTCTGTGGGTCCTTGTGCCAGTTTGGCCTAGTGCAGGAGAGGGGCTGGGAGTGAAGGACCTGTTGGGATGCAGCCTCCCTGTTGCACCTGTTCCCAGGCTGTGATTGGAACCCATAACCTGAGCCAGCTCTCCTTCCCACCATGGGAAAGATGAGAAGCCTGCGCAGAGGAGGGCACCTGACACCAGTGAGGAGGATGGAGCCAAGCTGGAACAGGCGCAGGCTGGGCTTCCTGGCCTGAACCATCTGGCCTTTTGTTGACCCTGTTCGTCTCCCTGCAGTACCAGCCACACTCTGGCCATTCACAGGGAGAGTGCACGGTTGGCCCCAGAGCCCCAGGATTTCATGGCCCTGAACCTGACCCCCTTCTCTTCAGGAAGCTGCAGACCTGTCCTCCCTGAAACCCCAGCTGGATGAACTGGGCGTGCCCCTCTATGCTGTGGTGAAGGAGCAGGTCGGGACTGAAGTGAAGGACTTCCAGCCTTATTTCAAAGGAGAAGTCTTCCTGGACTCACAGGTGTGTGTGCTGCAACTGGTGGAGACTGTCTTGGCTGTGGAGAGTTGGGGCTCAGGCTGTGCCTCGCTGGAACTGTGTGCTGGTCTCCCTTCTGCCCTGAGCTTGCAGGGGCTCCCCCCACTCTCAGAGCAGGCCGTCCTCTTAGTTATCCCTGGAGCCCTTCCCTGCGGCATGACCCAGGAGGGTGGGAAGAGCTAAAACCCCATCAGGTGCTCAACATGCAGATGGGAGTCCTGGCACAAACTTTCAACCCTGGGTTCATTGGAGCTATATTTCTTTCTTGTTTGGTCCACCCCACGTAGGATATAGCACTGTCATAAGAAATGAGAGGTTGAAGCTGTAGCTCAGTGTTACAGTGCTTGCCTGGTGTGTATGAGGGCCTGTGTTGCATCCCCAGTGCTGCAAAATAATGACAACGGCAGCAACAACTATTCGGAAGGCATGCTTATACACACTTGTAATGCCAGTGATTTAGGAGACAGAGATGGGATCATAGGTTCAGGGCCAGCCTAGGCAAGATAATGAGACCTTATCTCCAAATAAAAAGAGCTGAGGATATATCTTAGTGCTCCCTGGGTTCCATCTCCAAAACCACAGAAAACAAAACAGTGAGAACATAGAGTTGCTTCCCTAAGTCAGGCCTGCCTCAGGTCAGAAGCTGAATCCCTAGCTGGGGATGTAGCTCAGTGGTAGAGCACTTATTGCCTGACACATGTGAGGCAAACATACACACACACACACACACACACACACACACACACACACACACACGCATGCATGTGCAGTTTTTAAGGAAGAAGCTGCACCTGGCAGGATTCTGTCTGCTCAGGCAGTTGAGGATGGTCCTGGCTAGGCAGGCAGAGGACCTGACCCATCAGGCAGGAGGCTTTTCCTGAGCACAAGTGCCTCGCCTGGAAACTGGCTCCCTGGGCAAGAAAGCATACAGGCTACTCACGGGATGTCTTGCTTGCACTGCAGAAAAAGTTCTACGGTCCACAGAGACGGAAGCTGTTGTTCATGGGATTCATGCGTCTGGGTGTGTGGTACAATTTCTTCCGAGCCTGGAGTGGAGGCTTCTCTGGAAACCTGAAGGGCGAAGGTGTCATCCTTGGGGGAGTTTTTGTGGTGGGATCAGGAAAGCAGGTAAATTCTTGGTGTTTTCCTTGTGGGTCAGTGAGGGGTGTTGAGGCCTGACTTTCCCTATTTGGGGCCTCCTGGCCTTCCTTCTAGGACCAGGAAGCATGAAGCAGGGAAGGGAATGCAGATGTCTGTGCGTCACACACATCATGTGATTGTCTGACGCAGTTTGACCACATTGCAGACACAGGTCTGGGGTCCAGGGGGTGCTGAGTGGTGGCTCTCGGGCTTGAACCTGGGCCTTCTGACTTCGAGTTCTGTCTTCTGGGCTCAAACCAAAGCATCATTTGTAGTCTTTTTGAGTTATTCCTTTGGTGCATTCCCAAGCCATGATGGAGAAAGTGGGGAGGAGAGAAGGAAGAAAACAGGCCTGATGGGAGCGGCAAGGGAGGCCACACTCTTCCCTGTGGCAGGCTTGGTGTTGGGGTTGAGCCTGGAGAGGTGACTGAGCCCTCAGCAGAGAGGTTGCCATGGGGCCAGGCCCTAAGGACCTCCAGTCAGCCTGGGGACACCAGAGGAAGATACAGAGAAGAGCAATGAGGCCACCACAGGCCCTGAGCAGGGGTGTGGAGCCCCCATCCAACGACCGGGGCGAGGCAGTGCCAACAGTGCAGACCCATGCAAAGCAGGGTGGGGCAGTGCAGGCACAGGCAGGCGACAACCTGGGACTGGCTGCCTCATTCCTAGGCCAGTCTGTCAACCTGGGTCATGACGGCAACATGTGAAGAAAGTGTTTTCTTTCCATGGGAGGACGGGGTGGTCCACATCGGTGGATCTTATGGCCAGTGTTGATAATTGCACTTTCCTTGATTTAGCAGAATTAAAACTGAGAATAGAAACCCTTGGATTTTAAGCTTTATTTCTGATCTCTTCCTTTTACATTCTGGTAACTGCTTTTGCTTCTGTTAGAATTTGACATTAAACACTGTCTAATTTAATGACACGTATTTGCTCATTTTCTGGTTAATAAATAAAAAGAGCAGCAGTAATGGTTACCAGGGCCTGCCTGCCTGTCCGGGTGCCCGTGCAGGACCACATGTCTCCACATAACCAGTCTGGGGTGTCAAAAATTTTTGTTCCAGCTACATGGAAGGAAATCAGTCACCCGGGGACACGACTAGGAAAGGGTAGATGGAAATGAAACTCAAAATGCAAATGTCTCACTCCAGAGAGCCTGTCTGGCCCCTGCCCATGGGCTGTCTTCAGACGTGGCTCCTGGGCCCTTCCCCAGAACACCACTTCCCCTTCCCAGCCAGGCTGCGGCGTTCCTCTCTGGCTCTGCCTTCCCTGGCCTCCAGAGCAGGGCTTGGCATACCTGCCAGCCTTCTCTTGCCTTGCAGTGACTCACCTGGTGCTCACTGGCCCCAGTGGCGCATTCCTGGTGTTGCTAGGTGTGATGTTTGATTTTGTTGGTACATCCTGGAGCTCCTGGCTTTCCCCTGCCTGAGGGAAGGCTTACAAGGCTCGCTGAGCATCAGGATGTACCTGCCAGGAGCCACCCTCTGGGGATACCGAGTTTCTGTTTTGTTTTGTTCTTGTTTTTGTTTTTAACAGTAATATTTTGTAAAGCATACTTAAAGAAGTATACGTGCACTGAAGAGAATTTGAAAAGAGCAGAATAATGGTAGGGTCATCCTGCAAATTCAGCGACCACAGGCAACCCATTGGAACCAAGCTGAGTGGCTTCCTCAGTATTTCTGCTGCCTGTGTTATGCTTTATTGAGCAAGCAAACATGATTTCCTCATCTGCTGCCCTGTAGTCACCACTACAGTTATTTTTTAAGTCTTTATAGATAATGGCAATGTATTTAGAGATTTTTTTAATTAAATTTAAAATGAATTTACAGATGTAATGTGTTAAAGAGCTTTTTAACAAGGGTTCCTTGGTGCTGATGTCAAGCAGTAACGTATATTAGGTTAGGTTAGGTTAGGTTAGGTTAGGTTGTATGGTGTGATACTTTATGGTAATTTGGGGTATCCCATATCTCAGTGCATTTTCCTTCACAGTACAGAAGAGTGGCCTCCAGTTTCTTGGAAGGCCAAAGAAAGGGATTGAGTTCCCTTCTCAGCTGGTTGTTCAGCACCTGCCAGAGTCTCACCTCTGGAGTTCTGCTTCATCTGGTTTTGCTGTGTTAACTTCCTTCGGTTGTCTTCAGCTTCGGTGTTCCTTTACCTCTCTCTCTTCCTGTTTGTATCCTGCTGCCTCCTGTGCTTTGTGGTCTGTGAAGCCTTTCCTAACATCTGTCCTAAGTAGCTGTTCCTGGCCTCCTGCTTCAGCTGCTTGTGTAGCACAAGTGCTTCAATGTGGCTTCCCCAGAACACTAGGCTCACAGGCAGGTTCCTGGCCTCAGTTGGCTCTGTGTCCGCCTCAGGCACAGGGCTGGGTGGACAGCAATGCTCAATGACTGTCCCATGAATGAGGACTGATGTTCCCTTCTGTTTCTTCTCAGGGCATTCTTCTCGAGCACCGAGAAAAAGAATTTGGAGACAAAGTAAACCCACTTTCTGTTCTGGAAGCTGCCAAGAAGGTCAAACCTAGGAGTCTAACCTCAGAGAACAAATGATCACATGAAAGGCACACCCACTCCTGGGTAACCGGGGACACTCACTGTGTTCCTGGAGAGTTAGAAGCCACTTGCACCGCATTCTCATTGTGGATTATTAATGTATTGTAGTATTGTTTTCAGGTTAGGCCCACTAAGGCAAAATAGGCCCCAAAACAAGACTGACAAAAAAATCTAAGACACTAGAAGCAAAGACCTGAAAAATATGAGGCTTAAAGTTGATGGCTACACCTCACTACAAATGTGTGTTTGAGCACTGTTACTTGAAATTTTTATTTTCCTATCTTCAGATATTAAGGAAAGTTGGGGCTAGAGGTGTAACTCAGTGGTAGAGCACTTGTCTAGCATGCATGAGCCTTTGGCTTCAACCCCCACAGCACACAGAAAAAAAATAGAAATAAAATTTAAAATCTAAGAAAAGATGGTGATGATTGAATTAAAGATCAGAGAATATAAGGGTTTTGGCTTGAGAATTTTCTACAAATGACTCGTTATGTAATGTCAAAGTAATATACAAAGGAATAGATGTGTTATCGGGTGGTTTGATAAAGGTAAATTATAAAGTGAAATCTCTTGTCTCATTGTCTTCCAGTTTAGCCTCAAAGATTTATGTTTCTAGAAGTAATCATTTCTGACTTTAATAAAATTGTGCATCAGAAAGCACCTGTGTACACAAATTTTTCTGACAAAACTAATAATAATGAAAATATTTACCATAATATTGGCTGAAACTGAAAAGTCAATGTTCTCCCCACGTAAAGATCACGGAGGGGACTCTAGTTAGACCAGCTGAGTAGTTTTGCAAATGGTCAGAGATTCATTCTGTCATTCATGTTAGTGATTTTGCTCTCTTTCCAGGAGGAACGATTTTGGTATTTAAAATTGGTACCTGCATTCATGCTGCCCTTTCAGTCCAGTTTGCTAAGTTTAGAGCAGAAAGGTCATAGAAATGATGAAACATAACTTGTTTCATTAACTTGTTGTGTCTGAGTTTTGTCCCTGAGTAATCAGGGAGTCCCCACCAAGACACCGCATCAGCCCGAATGGGAATCGGAGCAAAGAGTGTCAGCCCCGCTTGAGCCTGCCACTCAGGAAATGAGAATAGAGACAAGGTTAGAGGTCCAGCTAGGACAGCGGGAGAGGTGGGGACTGTGTTTGCAGAGTCACCAGGGGCAAGTTGCTCTGGGGCCGGACCAGGCCTGGGTCTGACTTCTCGTGGCGGTGGCGGGGGGAGAGTACACAGACCCACACTGGTCTGGACTTGGGCAGTTTTTGAGACAACACCTTTCAGTGCCTCACAGGTGGATAGGATGACTTCTCTCCCTGGACTCCAGTTACTGATAGGATCACTCACAAAGGGTTCTTTGGTGCCCAGGTGACACTTGATGACTGAGGCAGTTCTCTTACAATTGCAGAAGAGCGAAGCATGAACCCACATCACGTCATCTCTCTCCTGTTGGCGTGGCAGTGAGGAAGAGCACCGGACTGAGCCAGGGGCTGGGTTCAGTTTCTGGTTTACTCTGACCTTAAAGCACTGACCCACAACACCCTCCCTCATTGGTAAAAATGGGTGTAAAAATCCTTCTCTACCATTGAGAACTATTTATTAGAAGTCACTGGGGGAATGATAAATAAAAGGCAGTGCTTGTCCAACTTTTAAGTACATGCAAATCACCTAAGGATATTACTAAAGTGGAATCTATTGAAGACAGGTGGACACAAAAGGCAATAGAGACATATTATGTGCCCTTTGGTGGGTAGTAGTGATGAGTCTTCAGTATACAACTGAGGGCAGCTTTAAATCTGCAGAAATGGCTAGAATTTTAAATCCCATCCACCATAAGGAAGGAAAAGGGGTGACTCAAATAGGATCTGAGAAGTGGAAGATTGTGGAAAGCTGCAGGGCAGTCAGCGGGCTGAGGATCCATCTGCTGACGGGCAGGTTGGTAACGGGCTTCTTTACACAGAGCCTGGGAGGCAACTCTGCCTCTCGTAATAATTTCGAAGAAGTGGCTCCCAGGTGCTGAGTTGTAGGAGATACCTATGTTCCTCAAAGGGACACAGAAGAAGTTTACCATTGTAATTTTATAAAGGGAATGTTTTAAGAAAAGGGAGGTGAGCAGTCTATGGTCAAGTGCTGGCTGGAACAAAAGGTAAATTCTGAGCCTCCTTGAATTTCCCCAGGCAGGGATTCAAGGGAACATGCAGCCTTGAGCTGCTAGAAACTGCTAGGGTTAGTTCAAGTCTCTATGTGTCTGTGTTGGAGGGAAGCTCTCTTTCAGTGTGTTGTACTGAGTTTTGCAGCTCTCAAGACTCCCAAGAAAGCAGCCTGGGGTTTCTCCACAGCTGTAGGTCACCCTAATGTTCTGGTAGCCCCAGGATCTCCCGTGGAGAAGCAGGGCTCCAAGCACAACCCCACAAATCAAAAGTATTCCCCTCCGAGGACCCTGGTTAGAAGCTGCAATAGTCTTTATAAACAGGTTTCTTTTTTTATTTATTTGATGAACAAATTGAGAATCCACAATACAAACTACTGAGAGAATGAATCCAGTGTCCTTTACTGTACAGCTGCTGTTTCTCAATCTCAGATACACAGTAGAATTCCCTGGGGAGGTTTTCTAATCCTCTGATGCCCAGGCCCATTAAATCAGAATCTCTGGAAGGGACCTCAGGCAGTAAATATTTATTTAAGCTCCTGGATTATTACAATAGGCAGCCAAGTTGAGAACGATTATAAAAACCCAGTGTCAAGCTTGGACGACCAGCAGTTACACCTCAAGAGCTCTTCCCCAGGGTCGGGCTGCCTGTGAGTAGCTCAGGTAAGTTTGGGGAAAGTCTGGGTGGCAAGGGTCAGGGATGAGGTGGATGTGGAAAGGAGCGGACACCCACTGGTACAGAGCTCTCAAGGTGTAGAAGACTTGGGTAGTAAACAGGAGACAGAAGAACTGGGAGGATTCTGTTACATTTTGTTTACCTAATTCTATGTCCTTTTCCCATTGTGTGGATTTCTCAGAAGCACACCAGTGTCTGCATTCTCTGTCCCCACAAGCAGGGTATGCCATGTTATGTGGACATGTGGGGAGGGTGACAGGGACAAGCAGTAGGGATTCGTGAGTCCAGGGGTGGATGAGGTCAGGGCAGGTGCTGAACGCTTCTCCCAGCCCTCACTGTCTCACCTCACCATCCTGGGTTTTGAGGCCTATGCACGTTGGCAAGTGAGTATTCACGAGTTTACATTTGGAAAGAGAGGGAGGAAAAGTCTTTTCCTGGGTTAACCCCTCAGATATTTTCTAAGCTTAAAGGAGAAGGCATTGTTTGTAGTTTTGTTGGTTTTTAAAGAAATACCACAGAGAATACCTAGGCATGACCCCAGGTCTGGGGGAAGCATCCTTCCAGCTGTGCAAAGTCCCCTCCCTGTGTGACAAAAGGTGACCAGGGCCAGCCCCATGCACCAGCTGGGGCCGGGAGTTGGTTCTTCTCATGGAGTGCAGGCCGAGGTGGAGCTTGTGCACTGCTTTGAGACAGGTAGCTCTGGGTGGCGTTTCTCCCACCGTGACATATGTCAGACACTGGAAGGAAGCAAGAAACTGGCTCTCACGAACACTCAAAGGGCACAGTAGGCAGAAGAAGCAGTGAGTGTGAAGGCCCAGAAGTGAGAATGGGACTGCTCTGCTCAAGAAGTGATTAAGAAAGCAAGAAAGACAAGAGCCATTAGGACACTGGCAGCCATGGTAAGAACTTTTGCAATTACTGAGAGATGGAGTTGGCTAAAGGAGTCTAAGAGAGAAAGGGCGTGAGGATTGCCATCATTCTGGGTGTTTGGAGAATACAGACTGCAGAGGACTGAAGGTGGCAGCAGGGAGACCCCTTCGGAGCCCTTATAATGATCCAGGCCAAGTGATACAGAGGAGATCATGGTGGGAGGAGTCAGATGCCAAATATACCTGACCACAGGACTAAGGATTCCTAAGCCACTGCATGTGGGGTAAGACTGAGAGGAGTCAAAGATGATGCTGATTTGGGGCCATGACAATGATCTGCATGTGAATCTTGCATCAAAGTCAAGCAGAAAGTAGTCTTCTCCTAATGTGGTATGAGAACTGCAGCAGCTACAAGGAGTGACCTGGAGGTGTAGGTGTCAACTTGGATGCACTGAAACAATGCTAAAGGAAACAACAAGCTTCAGAATGAAGTGTTCAGTAGGATGCAGTGTACATAAGTGTTTAAGACATGCAAAGTGTATTGTTTAGGGCTCCAGACATACTTGGCAAGCACATAGAGATAAGCATAAGATGATAAACTGTGCAGCCAAGCCTGAGCACCCTCTGGGAGTATCATGCTTTTAAAAATCCCATCATTTGGGCCAGATCTTAGTCCAGTTAAATCAGAATCTCTGGGGATGGACCCAGGCACTAGTATTCTTTAGAAACCTCTAGGGGATTCTAGTATGCAGACAAGGTGGAAAACCACACAATTGTGAAATCTTAGGGCAGCAAAAGGAATTTTCCCATTGTGTACCAAAACCTTGGTCAATGTCTTGGATTTATGCAAGAGCCACCCATGCCCTAATTTCCATGATGTTCATCCAGGAAGTGTGAATAACCTCTCCCAAGAGGCAGCTGAGCAACTTTCTATAAAAAGAACTTGGAGAAATGTCTGATTATGGGCCAGGAGCAAATGTGTGCGAAGTGGGTGTACAACATATTGTCATACCAGATAGCAAGCAGGTTCATTTGTTTGTTCATTCTCTCATTCATTTGTTTTCGTTGTTTCAAACAGGGTCTTGCTGTGTAGTTCAGGCTGGTCTGTATGTAGTCTAGAGATCCTCCTGCCTCAGCCTCCTGGGTGCTGGGATTACAGGCATGTGCCACCATATACCCAGCAAGCAGGTTCTTAAAGACCACTGAACGATTGTTGAAAGGACAGACTCAGGAGACAAAAGCAGCTCTCAGCTGAGACAGGAAGATTTGGGCATCAATGATAATAACTGCAAAGAGACAAAATACATCAGACATGTTTATGGCTATTCATTACTATCCTTTACAAAAAAATTTGGGATGATGCTAAAAAAATAAAAATAAAAAATTCATTTTGAAACCTGATACATAAAGAAAAGTATTTACCCTGCCTTTGCTACTCAAAAGCAACCAGAGTTGATGACAGAAGTTTCTGATTGCAGGAATATTCAGGCCTGGGACCAGTAACCATTAGAGTGGGAGTCACCAGGGGTAGCCAATGGAGAGGTCTGAGCCTGTGGAAATGCCTCTTGGGTCTCTCCAAAGGGTAGCTCTTTGCAGAGCTTTTCCCAACAGGCAGTGCCTCTAGCTGCACTCTCCATCCAGCAAGATGTGCTGGTTCCTTACTCGAAATGCTCCCTGGTGGAGACTGGGTCCCTCGAACTCTGATTCTTACCTTCCCATTTTGTGTGAGGAGAGGTATTCTCAGGGGATAGTGTTAGCAGGTTCACTGCTGATCTGGAGCAGCTTTTGGGATACAGGAAAGAAATTTAAAGCTGGCTTCCAGAGCTGGGCCCACCTGCTGACTATGGAGTCCTGGGTTGGTCCTGCCCTCCGGGGACTGGTTCTGTACCTGTGCTCTGCAGGAGTTGTTCTCAATTTGCCTTCACTGGGACAAACCTGGACCCCAGGCTCTGTTCCCATCCA